TTGTTAAACATCTGAGTGGTGCACTACTGCTACTAGTGGTGACAAAGTGTATTGCACCTTATTCAAAATCGATGTGGTCCCACGGCCCTCTGCGGCCCAAAGTTAAAAACTGTTGTTCTTTTGAGGCCCTCAAGGTGGTGCTCACGGCCCTCAATTGGGTCGCGGCCCATGGGTTAAGAATCTCTGGTCTATAAAGGTACTGAAACATCTGATTTGATGCAGAAAAACTCGGTTTAATGCCTCACCTTAGTGCGACATTTGGGATACTCGTGGTCTCCTGGCAGAACTTTGAAGGAGATGGGGACTCTGTCAGCTCGACGGTTGGCACAGAAAGCATCCCAGATGGCCCGGTGCACGGCATTAAAGACCACATCCAGACCAGTTAGAGCTACGAAGGCCATGGGCCGGCAGCACAGCTCGGGGGGCAGCTCCCACTGGGATCCTGACATCATAACGAGCCGGCAGACTCACCTAGAGAAAAAACAAAAACAGCACATCGCTAAAGGAAAACATGTGGTGACAGCACAACTTTGGAGTGCCCAATCCTGGTCCTGGAGGAACACCATCCTGCAGGTTTGAGAGGTTTCTCTGCTCCAGAACGCCTGATATGAAACAACAGTAACTAACAGGCTTCTGCAGAACATGAAGAGGTGATTCAATCACTGAATCAGGTGTTCTGGAGCAGGGCAGCAAGTCTCCAGGACCAGGTCTGGACACCCTTAAATTTACAGGACAGTCATGTTTGTGCACAGTCTGCTGGTGGGCAGAAAACAAACAGATGAGACTAAAAACAGCTGATTTAGATTTGTTGTATTATTCTACAGATCTTATCCCAGAGGTGAGAGAGCGGTGTGTGATGAAGCTACTTTACACCTGATCCACTGAGAGGAAGGTGGAAGACGAGCCAACACTCTGAGCAGGATCGAACCAAATCTCCAGGTTCTTCACCAGAGTGGCTCAAGGCTGAGCTCTTAGTGAACAGGTCACACATTTAGACACGTCTATCTGGATTATTTATACTGAGAATAATAAACTCTAACCTTATCCCACCTGTGTGTAACTCCAACCACAACAGGATTGGACCATTTGTGATTGATCCATGTCATCACTTAAGGTGAAGGAAATAATTACGTGATTACCTCCGCCAAGGCGAGGTAATGTTTTCAGTCGCGTGCATCTGTCCATCTGTGGACAACATTACTCAAAAACTTGTGGACAGATTGTCATGACATTTTTACCACATGTGTGTACTGGGCCAAGGAACACAACTTTAAATTTTGGTGATATTCTGGATCACGATGCGGATACAGGAATTTTTTTTCTTTTGACACTCTGAGATCGGCAAAGCTGTGATGCTTTCACAGGGCTTCTGTAAAAACAGTGAGCTGGATTGGACAGCACGGACTTCAAACTTTATAAAAGTGATGTTAAAACCACATTTAATGATGAATAATTTTTGCCATAATATGCACATTTACAGAACGTTTTGTGACCAGGAACTGCGTGACTGCACCATGAAACCTGTTTTTCCCATTTCCTCAAACACACCACATTTCTGAAACAACCAAATCAAAACAGTTTGTCTCTACTAGGCTTGTAAACAGAGAGCTGCCGGGCCTCAAAGTTTGGAGACGGGGAGCCAGGAAGCACTTTATAAAGAGAGTCAAACCATTACAAACTCATACAAGGAGATAAAACAGACGTTTTACATGGTGAAATGTGACTGATGGAAACTTAGGAGCTTAATCCCACACCAGTTTGACCATGAATAACGTCTTCCTCAGGATCAATGATACCCTATGAGCTGAGATTTTACACGAAGCCCCAGATCCATGAGGACTGATAATCTTTTTGTTTTTCTTCCATGTTCTTACTACTGAACCAACAGTTGTCTCCTTCTCACCCAGCATCTTA